CCCAATATCGTCGGAGACCGTACAAGAAAAAGTAGTATCTTGGACACCTCTCTACTCTCGTGTTCCTCAATCACCAAGGTATAAAAAAGGCATCAGCAGTACACAGTACCGACGCTTAGCTGCAACGCAACCATCACCGGTCGCACGTGGGCATTGGATACTGCGAGCATCGCTCCGCGCCTACGCAGGCTCGAACCCGTGCCGCAAGATTACCAAACAAGCTCATTACCTCTAGGCCAGGCATTGCTTCAACCGAACGAGAAGTTCAGTTATCTCAGCCTTTCGTTCAGCTGGAAAGGCAAATTAATGCCTGCATCCCTAGAACAAACACTCTATCAGCTTCAATGGACAACCTGAGCTCCCCTGATACCACACCAGCGATTAGGAATAATACGCAGCTTCTAACTAACACATCACATTCACAGCCTGTCTATGGCGGTAGTACACCGTTATGCCATAAAGAACATTGTTAAAGCAGTTCGCTCCCATGTACGCCAATGGATGCGGCAGCCTACCTTTACTCAGCTATCGAACATATTGGCCTCGAGATACCATCCCTGTCTACCATGATCCCTCCTCTTCGGAAATCTTGCCTGGAGAGCCATCTATCGAACTCCCAGCTTGTAACCAGTTGGGCGATTCGCGACCCCTCCGCGGCCTTTATCCACTGAATTCCCCCAGTTCCTGTCGTTGCATACGGACAACCAGTCCCCCACAAAGCTTGTGCACAAGAGGACTGGAGAACGGAGTTATCTTCTGTCGATAGTTCCCAAGTAATGGACGTTGCAAGTTCATCCTCAGCTCACCAATGGCCTAGACAACCAGGCAATAGCTTCCCTCGACTATTTATACGACGGATTCAATTGCGGGGACGGTCCCCTCAACGACCATCTACCTCAAGATTCCCTGTTCATCGCCTTGCAGCTTATGGGCAAAGTAAACGCCCTCAGTTGTTCCGTTATGTGAAGTCACTAACTATGCGGTTCAAAATGGCACGAAATCGTGAAACAGCTTGTGAGTGAAATCCGCCATCAGAGTATTCTCAAATTACACCAGAACCCGGGATAGCAACTTTGAGCTTCCGTATAGAAACCGACCTGCCCGATGTCAAGAAGACTAAGGGATATTTGATGAAGGTCACTTCTGTGAGCTACATCGCGTGGAACGAACCTAAAATTTGAAATTGTACAAATATGGTGTCGGACCTCATGCAGATGGGATTCATTATAGTATGGTGGAGAAGACGATGCAACCTTTCGACACTTAGAACCTCTCTGACTTGTAGTATAATCAGCACAAGTTTCTTAGAGACGTCCATCTCCCGTTTGTCATTGATTTCTGCGCTTGCGTACCTCGCTTTGGACAACGCAAGGAATCCGTATTCACGTAGTGTTGATGACACGTATCTAAGCTCGCTGACCGTAGTTTTAGAGCAAACTACGCGAGCCCTCACGAAGGTGGCGCAAATAAATAATCGCTAGCATTAGGCTGTCCTGAAAACAGTTGACCTTTTTAGTACACTTTTCAATCAGTATTTATTTTAGACTAGCAACATTTAGTCAATGTAACGTCCGGTGATCGACCGCGTACTACCAACACTCAGACAAGCTGTTGACGCCTCGTTTATAAAAAGAGCCGGGATGGCTATTAAAGTATTGCGCAAGGTGCGTTTCGATATGGTTGCGGTTACAGAATTTCATGCCTTTGATGTGATTGTGCAGCGTGCGAAAATGATGGTAGCCAGTAGGAGCAAGATCCGGGTTATATGTTGCATGCACAAGAGTTTCAATAGCGAACTGATGAATGTTAAGATGTGTCAACTTCACTACAGAAAGATGGGCGTTGTCATGCAGCAGAAGGATCCGAGCTGCTCTTGAACGAATTCTTCAGTGTTCGTCGACCATCTTTTGCGGTTGTTGGAAGTGGACATCGGTAATCGAGCAGCAGTTCCAAAAGGGCGATGCCGCGGCGATTCACTAGACTGCCAGCATCAATTATTTGCTGTGCATTCGGAATTCGTACTGGAATCCCATCTGCTGCTATCCGCTGACGCTTCTTGAACTGGTTGATATGCAGAACCCACTTCTCGTTTCTAGTAACGACATCGTTCAGTCGTCGATGATTGCGTCGTCGGGCGAGCAATGAAAGTGAGAAGGTACAACGGTTCAAAAGCTGCTCATCAGTTGATTCGTGTGGCACAAGTTATCCAAGCATCCGGATGATTCTGGACTGGCACAGATGGCGATGAACGGTGGTCTTGGGAAGGCAAAGGTGTGACAAAACTTCCAGCACACTTCGTCTTGGATCCTCCTTCAGATTATCCTGGGTGTTGCTGACAACGTCCACTTGCTTAGGTCATTGATATTGGCCGTATGACAATTGGTAGATTCCAACTTTGAATCGAGGGAACCAAAATGTCACCATACTGTAACCTAAAGCATCAGTGCCTAGTACACCACGCATGTTCTGGCGAGCGCTTGTAGGAACTCGTACAACGCATGCGCGAATAGCATGCTGTTCAGCTGCCAATACCACAGCCACTGCTAAAATGTAGGATAGATGGGCAATGTAAGATTATAGTTCCAGGATGTCCCCTTATAAACGCATAGTAAAGATCCTTTAAGAACCTTCCAGAAAATTCTGGAATGGCATCGAAGGAATTTTAATTGTTTTCGGGACAACCTATAGTTTGTAGGACACAAAGTGTTGGATGCATTGTTTTGTTCAAGCGGATCTACAATACACAGATCGAGTGAGTGTGCGGTTTATGATTCTTTTGGGGTTCGCAACAAAGAAAAGGAAAGTGTTGCCAATTTCGTATTTGTTTAAATCATAAAGTAGGCATCCTGCTCACTGAGTGGTATCAAACACAATGGTGTCATTACAATATCCAGTATACGAGTGTACCTTTAATGTATAAGCTGTACCATTAAACTGTAGATTGTTTCAATGAATTGGAACTGAGTGCCCTTGTGCACCAACAGAGTAAAAATCTTGCTTCCGCTTTTAACCAACACGATAATATCTGTTGATGGAACAATCAAATTGCCCAGCTCGGCGAGCACCACAGCAACCGAACAAGTCTCCCGAGCTACCAGTGTTCCAAGTAATTTCTAACATATACGGGGGTTCAACGTTATGTAATGCTCGTCGTTGGGAGAATTTCGCCTGCCGACAAGAGCTATACTTTCTCCACGAATGCTTACGAAGAGATATTCTTCCTCGCAGTGTCAGCTGAACCACCCATAGGCGTGGACCATTGCGCGACAATTCGGAAAGCGTATGGTACGGATGGTGATTACAGATGTCCACAGCCGTATAAGAAAATATGAACGTTGTCTAAATGAACATCGATCCACGTGTTTACAAACAATGGGACAACAGCTGACTGAACAAGTACAGTAAGTTGGGGGTAATTTTGCACCATACATGTTGTAATCTTTATATAAACTAAGTAGTTCACAATATTTATAATCATACATATTATCTGGATAGCAATACGTTAAATTCAATGTTACCGAAAGAACTTTGCTGGAGCCACAATTGTAACCAAGATATTAGCATTTTATTGATATTTTGATAAAATAGGAAAATGGGGCAATTCCACACCCCTGCCCCAATCAAGATTTTTAGGAACACCACAGCCAAACAATTGGCAGACACTTGACGATATGTCTCTCAGAAACTGACTTCCTCAAATATGTTTCTACTAAACACCTTCTTTGGGTGCAACCACTCATCATCACTGTCCGATATGGAAAAATCGATGTCATTGCAAGATACGAAAGCACGCTACTGTTTTTCCATTGAATCATTTCTGAGCTAAGCATACGAACACGATGGTTTATTTTTGTTCAGAGCATATGTAGTTTTATTGACCACCTGCACTTCATTTAACGGAATTCTTTGTGATCGTGTAATTTTTGCTGCCTTTGCGAAAACATCACGAAGCTGTTGATAAGTGGTATCTTCTTAACATGCGAACTAGATAGTTTCTTTTGTCTAAATCACTTCGACGATTACGACCTTTAGTATTTTTATGCAAACTTCTCTGTGGCCATGTGATTTTTCTACCTCTGCTGCTCCATTCGCTCCACAGATTCCTGAACAACCAGACTTTCTCTATAATATCTTTTAATTGTCTTTCTCCGAGTTTTAGTTGTGTTTCGTTTCAGGAATGGTGACAGCCTGCTGAGAAAAGAAGTGTCTAATAGTTACTTTGATCGCTCTGCTTCTCAGCATGAGATTCTTTCCAGGATGTGGAAAATTGATATAAGGTTGATTCTGTCGTCATGGCAGAATGTTGACAGAACTGAAAGATCTAACTGATTCAATTTATTGTCGTCTTGTCGTATGCCCACATTTGTGCGGCTCGCGTCATGCGTAGTTGAGGTTGCATGAACACTGCCCATATATTCTGCAGATTCATGCGCAGAGAATGGAATTTTGGAAGGGTCAAACGGCATGAGGCCAACGTGTGCTAAATCCGGATTCAAGATTACCTTTGCTTAGACAGTCCCTTTCTCAGAAGGATAGGAAAGAGCTCTTTGGATGAGACTGTACCTTTGTTCTGCCTGGCCAATTTAGTAAGAATGTTCTCCCACTCTGACTTCCCTGGTCCACAGACACCCACATCAAGAGGTTGGAGCAAGTGGATTGAATTTGATGGAAGTTTCGTAATTAGTGTACCATTTTGAATTGCTGTTCCAATGACTCTGATATTCTTATGTGAAGCATGTCCATCAACAATTAACAGAACAGGTCTATCTTCTGGTAGAAACGGGATAAAATGCTTTATAAATCAATCAGAAACAAAAACTCATTATCGAACGTTTTCAGAGACATTGTAGCTAGTTTTGTCAGGTCCATTTTGCGTCCAAGAAATTCTTAGATTTTCGGCCCCATAAAGGATATATGGGGGAATCATGGTCCCATTAACCCGAGCACATCCTTGCACGGTGACAGAATCTCTCCCTGAGCCAGCATTGACACAAAAAAATTTTGATCCCCTTTTCACAAAGCACTTTTAATCGCTTAGGGTCGAGTGGAAAGCCACTCTCCTCAACGCTGTAAACTCTTCAGTAAGCAGCTGAAACCACTCCTCAAATATCTGTTTATTTGCAGCCAGCTGGACTTTTGATTTGTTCCATTGCAGCCGTGTCATATGCCTCTTTGTACGTTTTTAGTTTCGAACCATTCTGAAACTCTAAAAGAAATCTATGTAAGACCATTCATATTCAAAAAGCTGGGAAATAAACATGGGTTAAGTGCACACCGTGTTATGTGGAATTGCCACACATGATTTTAATTTGAAGTGCGTAATTGCCCCAACATGCTAGTAATTTGTCCCTCGGTGAGGGATTACCCCAACCGGCAATAGATCGCAGAGCAAAAAACACAAAAGTAAAACAGCAGATTGTGCTACACCAGAAGTTGGCCAAATTGACTATCAGAAAAGATGAAGATACCATTGACGGTTGGATCAGGAATTTGTCAAAATGGCCACTTAGTGATGCGGAAAAACAAATTCTTAACAAACGTCTAAACTATAAATACAAAGAGGCGACAACGACGGAGTTTCTGGCAGGAATCGAAGGCGCCTTGCAGTCCAAAGGACTAGACGAAGAGACAAAAAGCAATAAGATACACAATCATCCCAGCTGTGACGCACATGAAACAATTCAATCCTCGATCCCGACAAGAAGACGCAATAAAAGTTCTGAAAGCAGACGAATCGACTGTTATCCTACCCGCTGATAAGGGACGGAAGCAGATTAGATCGAGAAAGCAAAGCATCTCTTGAACGATACTAAAACCTACCAAAACATCGCAGTACACCAACAAAATAAACAAAACGTTGGCAAAGCTCAAACAATCGAAAGAAATCACGGAAGAGGAAGGAGACAGAATGAAAGTTCGAGACTCGAACATTGTACAGTTTTAAAGACTACCCAAAGTGCACAAAGACGGAGCACCGTTAGGACTAATCGTGTCACTTGTAGGTAGGTCCACCTATAATCTGTCAAACAGTTCAATAGTTCAATAGTGTATGGTGGGATAAAAAGCAATAACTTTACAAGACCCACAGGATGGCAAATGGAAGAAAACAAAAGTTTCAGGTGACACAAAAATATCAGTAAGTTAGACACTGCAGTTTGTTATACCGTTATATAATGTGTATCATGTAAGTGCAAGTCCAATAGTCTTTCGAATGTCTCGATGTTTGGTGCGTTCACCACATGCGATGGCAGTGCGGACGGACACTAAGAGAGTAAAAAAAACTTTCTACAATCTAAACGGGAATATTGAGTCCCAAGTCTTAGTGCATGGCCTTGGCTTCGTTTGTCGGCAGATAATGTTAACAGCGACTTACATGGATGGTCCTCTTCTCTTAGTATCCGGTAAGTGAGGATCAGATCACCGCGAAGTCGTCGGTATTCTAAGGTGTACAGACCGATCGAACGAAGGCGCAGTTCATAACTAAGGCCCGATAGACCACGTGTTGCCTTAGTGGCTCTTCTTTGTGGTTGCTCCAGAAGACGAATGTCCCGTTTTAACCACGGACGCCATGCCTGCACCGCATACTCGAGGTGGGGACGAATGAAGGCGTTAATCAATAATGGCACGAGTTGCCGCTCGAAGGTACCGAGCGCTCGCCTCAAAAGCCTCAAGTTTAAGTTCGCTATGTTAGCTGCCTTTGAACATTGGAGCGAATTACCCAGACCTTCTTGCACGATGACCCCTAAGTCTCTTTCGTTGCTCACCTGTTTTATAACGCGCTGCCCCAGGTGATATGTGTTGCTGCAGTTACTGCGCAGCGACAACAGGTGACACTTTTCGGGGTTCAGGGGTAGTTGGTTGTTTACTGCCCATTCGTGAATCCGGTTCAGATCATCCTGCAGATAGACAGGGTCAGATGTTGAGTGAATAGCTCGCCACATCTTAGCATCGTCGGCGAATATTTGCATAGGTGATTGAATGTTGGCAGGGAGGTCGTTGATATAGACTAAAAAGAGTAACGGGCCGAGAACTGATCCTTGCGGTACGCCGCTAGTGACGCATAGGCTATCGGAGTGGGTGTTGGCGATCCTTACCTCGATTCTTCTGTCGTATAAGTAAGTTTCCAACCATGTGAGCAAGGATCCGTGGATACCATAGGCCGCAAGCTTTCGGAGAAGTGCTGGGTGATTGACTCTGTCGAATGCCTAAGAAAAGTCTAAGTAAATCACGTCTACGGGAACTCCCTCGTCAGCAGCCCTGGTCCATGAGTCCCGAGCAAGTAGTAGATTGGTGAGGCAAGATCGTCCGCGTCTGAATCCATGTTGGAGATGATTTGTAGAATTTCAAAATATCTCACCATTTCATCAGCGATTATAGACTCCATCACTTTTGATAGAACAGGAAGGAGAGTAATAGGTCGGTAGTTGGCAGGGTCTGACCGCTTACCTCCCTTGTATATCGGAGTGATAAGTCCACGTTTCCACTCAGACGGAAGTGTATGAGAATCAAATAGAAACTGGAAAAAAGTTGCAAGGTGGACTGTCATGGAGGGTGCAAGGGTTTTAAGTACTTTCGGACAGATCTTGTCAATTCCCGGCGCACTATTTTCCCTGAGTGACTGTAATTTCTTTGCCACAGATGTAGGGCTAAAGTTGACCGTGGATAAGCTGACGACATTTGCTGGGATGTAGCAAGGCGATGGTTCCATGGTGTGTCTAGTCACTGAGACAAACTGCATGAGCAATGCGTCCGCGGTCTCCTCTTCAGTAACCGTTAGGCCATTGACCGTCTCTAGTGGTGGTATTCCCGTCTTAACCTTCCTTTTGTCATTCACATACCGGTAGAGCAGTTTGTGATTGCTAGTAAATTTGCGTACCATAGTTTCCTGCCATTCGTACTTGTCAGCTTTAAGGAGTGAAGTGCAGTAGTTTCTGACTGTTTTGTAATGATTCCACGTGATATCACTTGGACCTAGCAAATGACCCCTCCAAGCCTCGTCTCGTCTATTCAACCACTTACGTATTCTACTCCGGATCCAGTTGTTGCTCCGTCGCGAAACTCCTAATGGTACGTCTTTTGAAGCTGATTGTAGGACCCAGTTTATCTTGCCTTTCAACACTTGCCAGGCATCATTCGCCGAAGTGTGCATCTGGAGGTCCCAGTCAACGGTTGTCGTTATAGTGTGAAGCTTGGAATAGTTGGTGATGAATCGTCGGGTTTCTGGTTCTTTGTCAACCATACTGGCATAACACACATGATCAAACGTTAGAACTGAATGATCGCTACAACCTAGCGGGGGGTTGTATGAAACCGACTCAACCATTAACTCCTCATTAGTCAGGATTAAATCAAGTATTGAAGGCTTGTTTGAACCGCGGTGTCTGGTTTGTTGATCCACATGGTTATACAAAACTGCCATAGTCAAGAACTCAAGGAGTTTTGATTTGAAGCATGGCCCACTTGGGAACACAGATGCTATTGACGGTACATTGAAGTCATCCATTATTAGGTAGTGTGAGTACTTTTTCGACATAGCATATTGGAGAGCATTTAACAGAATATCATCGTTGTCGGCGGAGGAGTTCGGCGGCCTGTAGACAACTGCTATGAGGCAAGCATCATGTGTCTTCTTCTGAGGACAACCATCGGGACCGGATAGCTGCAGCCGGCAAAATAAGGCGCCGGGGATAATAAGGGAATGCTCAGTGAGAGCTTCACATTTCAGGTGATCTCGGTAGTAGATAGCAACGCCACCACCGCGAGATGGACGATCATTTCGAATGACTGACATTTCACTAAGTTCAATTTCTATGGAGGCGCCTCAAGCACCTAATCAGCAGATCGAAGCACTCCATAAACATTGCCCAACAATTCCTGATCAAGCTCAAAGACCTACGAATAGACGACGATGAAACGATGGTATCCTTAGGTGTAACCGCCTTATTTACTTCCGTCAAGTTACAGCTGGCAGAGGAAGTTATCGCAGAACGTCTAGACAGCAGCGGAGAGGAGGTCGGAAACGACGACCAGAAGTGTATGTGAACTCCTCCACTTATGTCTTTCAACTTACTTTTCATCCAACGAAAAAATTTATAAACAAGTGAAAGGTGCACCGATGGGATCACCTGTATCCGGACTCATCGCGGAGTTTGTCATACAAAAACTGGAAGATATACTCCCAAGTGTTAATCCGAAACTTTAGGTTCGTTATGTTGATGACACGTTTGTGATACTGAAACGCAGTCAAGTATTGATTGCGCAAGAACTGCTTAACAATGCCATGGACGGCATCAAGTTTACCATGGAATCAGAGAAAGAAAACAAACTCACTTTCCTGGATGGGTTAGTAAGCAGAACAATGGACGGTGAATTGCAAACATCGGTTTACAGAAAAAGCACACACACTGATTCTGAGCTTAAACAGCAACCACCCAAGATGTTACAAAATAAGCTGTGTACAGACACTGTTCCATAGGATAGCAACTCACTGCAGCACGATGGAAGTGAAACGAGCAGAAGAAAAGCACCTGATTAAGTAATTCGAACGGAACGGATACTCACGTTTTCTCTGAAGGTGCTTTAAACCACAAAAAACAAAGCTATGTCCGCGACCCCGAACATATCTGAAAAGACTGCCAGATTGTTCAAACAACACCAAATCATGGTATCTAACAAGCCCACCGCAACCCTGAGGAAAATATTGTCAAGACCAAAAGGAAAACAAGAAACGCAAGAACGACAGAATATGGTGTGCAGAATAAATTGCAAAAATGGTGAAAATACACTATGTGGGACACAAAGAAAGGTAGCTGGTAACAAGGATACAACACAAAAGGGCGTGCGCGAAACATTATGCAACCTCATTGGTTACAGTACACATGGATGAAGAAGGACACAACTTCGACTGCAACAAGGTTGAGATCCTGACCCGAGGACAAACTCAGAAAATGAGGGGATTTCTCGAAGCCTGGCACTCAACCACAAACTCGATCAACCTACATATAAACATCGATGAAATATATCAACCACTGAGACAGAGAGAGCTCAAGTAGATTAACAACCGTTGATCGAAAGAACCCAATCCAACACCTAGACAATGTACGGTACGGTCGGTGTGAGTCCAGACTGCTCAGCCACGCCCATTGCACCAACTTGATTGCGACATTTCCAACCACGTCACAACATTTAGGCAGCCAATGGTAGTAATTTCAGCACCACTAACTAACATAAGGAACCACCAATCAAAACGAGGCGAAGTTAGTAGCTCTGTACGCCCATATAAAAACGTAGTAGCGGCTGATAATATCCATCATTGGGTTTGCCTTCTACCAGCTTGTGCTACCTGACTGTCATCGGTCCTGCACTGACGATGCCACCTCGAATGGTGGTGAAACATTTGCAATCAAATTGTCCAGCTCGGCGAATACCACAGCAACTGAACAAGCCTCCAGAGCTACCAGTGTTCCAAGTAATTTCAAACGACAAAACCGTTGATTTGGTCGATATCTGAGGAGTACTTCAGCCTTGATTCCATAAACGGGACACAATATCAGTGGATTCAGCGGCATAGTCACCCTTACGGTTTCTGCAGCTATGGTACCAATCTGTATAAGGGGTGGCTCCGATGTAAACCATACAGTCTACTTCAGCCCAACCAGACCATAAAAATACCAAAGTGGTCATGAAATGTCACGATGGAAGTGAGAAGCATCAGATTAACGTCACTCTAGTGACAATCACGGTCGAGATTTACAGTACACTATATCACAGGCTCCGGACTGTGTGTCAGCTCAACCACTAGCATGAGGTCAATGTTTAAAGTTAGCACTACATCCACGCGTGTTAAATCGCGTCGATTGCTCGGTCGAACAGCTAGTGATTAAAAGAAAAACAGATGAGGAGAAGAGTAAATCTCATTCCGAAATTCCGTGTAACTGGATTACGTAGTGTTTAACGGAAAACGAAAGACGTTGAGAATGCAACATGGAGTACAAAAATGGCATCAGCAGTATGCAGGTACGCAATACCGACACTACGCTGCTGCGTAACCACCACCGGTCGCATGTGGGCTGAGGATAGTGTGAAGATCGCCTGGCCCCTACGCAGGATCAAACCCGCTCTCTTGGATTACAAGGTAGACTTGTGATCCTTAAAGCCACGGGCAGACATTTGGGAGTACAAATGAGGTCCCATGCACGAAAGTAAATCGGCGTCAAATATCCTTCTTGTTAGCCTTGTGTGTAGCCTGCTAGCGGTTTTATGTAGTGAACAAAACTTATCAACACAAAAATTACATGAGCTGAATTGGACAGGATATTCGGAATTGAAAGCAATCTGTAAGCTAAATGGCAGCTACCGTAGAAAACAGACAGTTTAACAGAGGAAAATTTCACCAAAAATAGAGGTGAATGTAGCTGGAATCAATAACCTTAACGGTAACCGGCAGGAAGAGTAACATTTACTCCCAGCTTCTTCCAGGCCAGTTCATGCTCACTTATTTGCTCCAAGGATCTGCAGTGGTAGCGAAATCTCACCAAGGACTGGTGTGCCTCTTTCCATTGAGAAGATTCCAGACGTTGCACTAATATCTCCTCCTCTCTTGTCAAGTCTGAAACGATCCGATCCACAAGCTCCGAAATGATGGATTGTAACTTCGAAACATCCCTTACATTATCATCCGAAGTGAGAGCATCGGCGATATGCGAAATGGCTTCGTTAACTTCGATCACTTTACTGAGGAATTCTGGATCTGAAGTAGGAGAGACATCATCTTCAAACCCATGAAGGGACAGGATGTACGTGAAACGGTCCAAGGGGCGTTCCAGAGTAGAATAAGCCCGGTTAACAAAAGTGGAGGCCTCGCTAGCTAATCTTTGTTCACTCTGTGTTGTCCCAGTGAATTTATCTGGATGAAGTTCTTTTTGCACATTCCGCATTCGTCCAGCCAGGTCGAGTGGATTAACCCGAACAACTGGGTTGGGGTAACCCAGAACATCAAAGTAAGATAACTGAATCTCCAAAGGTTGAATTTTGCCACAAGTACAGAAAAAAGCCTTTTCTTCCACCGCATTGTTGCAGCTCCAACAACGACGGAGGGGCCGAGAGGAAGTACAAAAACAGCGGTTCCACGATGAACGAGAAAACCTGCAATTAGAAATGAATCCTTCTGTGGACAAAGCGAACATATGACAAGTGCCATATAGGAAAGATGCGAAAACTTTGGCGCTGCGAAACTGTAAAAGTGCCATGTTGATTAACGAGGAGACAAGTTAGAAAGATGTCTCGTGTAGATGGAAATCGTCTGATTTAAGTTGCTTGCAACAAAGCATTGAGCATGTTTTCCGTTGGCGTAAGGGCGGCAGAGTTTTACCGATGAATGGCATCCACAATTCACGTTGAGCAACAGTCGACAGTTAGTGCCAATATAGACCTCACTGAAAGCAGAAAAAGATCATTGAATTCAAAATGAAACGAAAATTAAAGAGTGGTCTTGACACGCCACAAGTGAGGATTATAGTTGTTCAACTGAATTGAACGGAAGAGCGGCAAAATACAAGTACTGTAACATCAAACGATTTTGTGTGACAAGCTCGTGAGAATATTAAAGGTTGAAAATGACGGAGCTCCTACCGAGCATTGAACTGAAAGGGTCACAGAGTAAACCAATGGTGTACGCATTTAGCATGTAGGCGAAAGCAAAGCGAAGAGTATTTCTTCCGACAACTAGAAAATAGGTCAGAGAACAAAGAGCTGATGAAGCAAAAGAGAAAGAATAGTGGAATCACGACAGTCAGAAACTCGAAAGTCTTGATTGATAAAGTCGACTAAAAACGCATGTGACGGAGCACGTGTTGGTTGATCGGTGGAATGCCTAGCGCATCATCCAATCGCAGTCAGTGCAGGAAGTGATAAAAGTTGGTAAGGTAATCAGGGCCAAGGCAGAAGAAGCACTTGTAGCAAAGCCTTCTGTTTGCATAATTCCGGTTGAATTATCCTAATCGCGATCGCTTCGGCCTTCCGTAACATTTGCTACCTAAGACTTTTAGGGTACCAGTCGAGATGGATTTTCGACCTGGTGTAAAAGGAGAAAGGAATCCGGGTAGGAAGATGAGCGGTATGCCAAAGAAGCGAACTCACATGGGATAGACTGGTGCCTAGATGTAGGTATGGTGGGATTCGGGGAAAGGGAGGGGTTTTAAGTTTGCTGCATTCGATCTTGATAATTCAGCAAGACCAAATGTATAATATATCCATATATTCACATGTCTAAAATCAGAACTGTGTCATCCCAGCCAAATGTGTCGACAAGAGGCATCAGCAGTACGCCGCCAAGCCGTATCGACGCTTCGCTGCTATAGAACAACGACCTGTTGTGCGTGGGCTGAGTGTGCCACAAGGTTGCCCGGACATAAGCGAATTTAAACTGGTGACTTCCGGATTACAGGGCAGGCGTGTAATCCTACTGGCCACCGCCAACAGATCCGAAGTGAATAAATGCAAAGCAAGGGAAAAGGCAGGTATATAGACAGTAGCAAACCATACGTCCGATCCAGATAGACCATCCACTGAAGTTGATGAATCCAACTGATGACTCGCGTTGTCCTGAGAAAAAGGCAATAGCGAAGGAAACAATGGGAAATGCGCAGATGTGCAACAATACAGCGGGAGTATCCAGAAATAAAAAACTGAAAATGGGAGATGGAAAGATTAGATGCTAGAACGATACAAAGTATAGTAGAACGCTTCTTCTTGCTGCACTAATGTGAGTGTGGTCTCCAATCTGTTTGTTGGTTATTTTGATGACTATGGGTTGCCCACCAAAATGGATGGGTAAACGTAAGTAGATAGAAGATGGCCGCGTTAGAAGCTCGTTTCTATTGGCGATAGCACCTCACGCACCATGCCCCGATGAATGCATCATGTGTTAGGCTTACCAAAATACCGACTCCAGCGATGCGAGTCATTTGCAAGACCGGGATATGGAGGTAAAAAGAAGCCAGCAGATAACCTGGTTTAAAAGGAATGATTCCGCTCACCACAAAGTTGGCTTCGGTTGGTGCCCTTCGACTACCAGGTTTGGGTATCAAAGAAGATGAGTATAGTTGGTTGGAGACGAGTACTGACGTAGTAAAGTGCTGATTTCCGTAGCGCTTTGAGTTTCTTTCCCCCACTCTTCCAACCATGACATGCTTATGATGCATAAGGAAAACAAAGCATGACATTATACGTTTTTAGTTACAACCAGTTAATTACACTGTATTGTGCCACAATGGCTGTGGTGCTTGTCACCTCCAACTAGCGCGTAAAATGATGACAATGAGTTAATATTTTCGAGAAATCCCGATTGCAATGTGTAACAGTCATCGAAACACTAGTCATACAGTTTCCACCCAGTGATTTCATTCATGATAGGTTGAAGAGTGAGCGGGCAGAAAATACAGTGGGCGCTTGACTGTTGCACTACGATATTTCATAGTGCATGCATGGCCTTATTAGTCAATTCGTTCAAAGAGAGGAGTTAGTTGCAGCGGTGGTGCCTAATCCCGCTCTGGTTAAAAGTGAAACCAATGTCGGTGAACAGATATCCAACGCTTATATAAAGCTAAAGGCTGCATGAAGTTTTGCAACAACGTTAATGTGGGCGTATGCTCCGTTCAATTTAGTTAAACGAAAATGATGTAAGCAGCGAAGCACGGTGGATCCAAGCGCCACAATAAACTTCGCAATGACAACGACAGAAAACAACCAGAGGAAAATGAAACAAAACGCACTACTGATCGAAAATAAAAATGGGGATTTGAAGGAAAGATAATCAGGACAAAAGCTGAAATGCACACACGTGGAAGCGAATGGCAGAGTACAACGTACTTGGCGGTCACGTAGGAACTCTTCAGTCACTGTGTGACCGAACCCTAGACCTCCACCTAGAGAGACGATAAGTGTGGGCTATCGGTCAACTTTTCAAATGGCTAGGCAAGTCGCTATCAATTGACACCAGTCGCTCGCGGGTCACCCAATTCAAATCCTGATATTCTCGTGCTTGTTTGTGCATCCAGGATACGGGAACTTTGAAGACTTGCTTCTAGAAATTCCAGAAGTAGTCAGCTCTCATTTTAGTTTTCTGTTGGCTTCAATGCCGTTTGAATTGGGTCACAGCCTCCTGCGCGGACAGCTTTCATCTATATGCGCTAAAAGACGGAGGTTACTCATTGTTAACTGGATTTCCCCATCTATACAACACTATTTGGAACACTGAAGAGGAGCTTGCAATCTGGCGTCTGTCCGCTGTCATCCCCATCTTCAAAAAGAATCAAAGGGCTTTGCGCTTCAAACTTCTGACGATTATCACTCTGCGGCGACCCACTAGTCGTCACGAAAGTCTAATCCGCAGAATCCAGACTGATTTACACCCTGGTCGTGGTTACATTCATCACATGGTTACCATTCTTCATGTACTGGAGTAGAGACATGCTTACATACAACAGGCTATGCTGGCTTGCCTTGACCTGAAAGCCACCCTTTACTCTGTTGATCGAGAAAGATTGAGACTGTCTTTCCATGAAGGGTGTTCCGGAAAAACGCCCTTCCCTTTTAGAGTACCTACACCCTAACTCCAAAAGCTCAGTGAGAGTCTACGGAAAACCGTCTCCTGAGTTTCCTCGACAAGCGGTATTTATCAAGTTGTTCCATAACTCCTTATCTGCTCCGTTTTGTGATTGAGGTGATCATAAATGACTCCGTCCTCTCAACCTCTTCGGGAATCGAAGTTCTGCATGGTGGTCAACTTGTAAGTCCTGAGTATGAGGGCGACACGGCTCCCAGTGGTTGCACACTCATTGCTGAATAAGCTGACGCGTAGTGCCTCACGTCTCGGTATGTGATTTTGTACTCGACAGTCTACCCTGGTTCTACTGAAAGAGGGCAGGAAAGTACATACCACCTAAATCTTATCGCTGTCCACGAAGGTTTGGACTGATGAGAAGGTTCCAACCACATGGGGAGAACCGATCATAGTCCTAATTCACAAGAAAGGCTCCTGCGAAGTTTGCGTCAATTACCACGGAATTTCCTTGATCTCTGATGCGTCCAAGATCTTCGTGTCCCCCCGACTTCGTAGGCTTTCAGCGACTAGAGATGGCGTTTCCTGAGGCACAAGCCTGTTTTCGTCCGGGTCGTGGTTGCATCGACCAAATGCTCACACCACGACAAGTCCTTGAACTCCAAAACGTCTACCGACGGCCAACAGCCGTAGCGTTCTTGGACATTCGTTGTAAGACTATTTCCAACACCAACGCCAGCCATGATACAATTCCCTAGATCCTTGAAGCAAGGGACTTGTACCAGAAAGTAAGCGGCGATAGTGAAGGCATATATATATATATATATATATATATATATATATATGCTAAGGCTGATGTTGTATTCTTGATGCTTCTTCACCGCAGTTGGGCTAAACCAACTTACACTTAAGCTGGTCTTTTTAAGCTGGATAAATATTATTCCACTTTATTTGGTTTGTTCTGTCTACCTGAATAATCTTACATTAACTGGCCACGTTGTTTATGAAAATTGCGCTTATCTTCGGTAATTTTGTTGTGTTTGTAGCGTTTTTAAGTAACTTATGGACATTTCTTACTCATCGCGGATTTGTTGCTAACCAATTTACTTCATATAGCAATTTAGCGAAGAGTTATGCCACCGTATCTGTATGCATTAATGGATTTATTTTATTTCAGCTTGTCGTTTCAAGTGATTGGCTGTTGCTTGATATCCCCGGTGTGGCTGCGCTTGATGTGCATGTGGACAAAGTGCCTACCTGTCTATTACCCACTACCTCGTTCATACTGGGTCCAGGAGACAGTTGGTCGTTGCTGGAGGGGACGGGGTGCACAGTCCATGTGGCCGTGCTAGGCTCGAAGAGTGGTTCCATGCACTCAGTGTGGAGCGGACTATGGTCCAGCCACCGCCTTGTGTGTGCTTGATTCCCCAAATACAGTGTGCTTGTGTTTGCCTGTGAAGGAGTGTGGGCCGGCTCCGTTGATGAAACGTGGTTCCCATCCGCATACTTCCCGGTCTTATTCCTTCGAGTTTACACTGGATATGGGGCGTGTGATTGGAGCTGTGGGTGGTGCAGCGCAAGCCACCCATGGTCCCTCTGTAGGCCAGGCGTCCTGTGGCTGGCCACAGTGACAGGCAAATCCGAAACCGGATGCCGCCAACCATGTTCACAAATCAACAAACAGAAAAATGTGCCATCCGAACCATGGTGGTAAGGAAAGGAGAATATAACGTTCAACGAAGAGAGAGATTAAAACGCAGAAAAATGTTTTCAGTTTCACACACGCCGTTTTTAGTTTTGTGTTTAAAATTAAAAAATTCATAATGAAGAGATGGTAGAACAGCACTGACTCCTATTGTGGGCCATATTCCCCAAG